GCGAGACTGTCCTCGAAAGGGTAGGCGGAACTCTTAGCCCAGCAAAGGCAATCCGCCTAGGGTCGGTGGCCCAAAATACCACCCAGCTTGTTTGGAAGCTGTGAGGTGGCAGCCCCATTACCAAACTTAACCTGCGCAGCGCTCGTAACGCGGCCAGGGGATTCAATAACTACCGGCTTTCTTCATAATGCACAACTGGATGGATCATGGAAACAACTTAAGCATGCCAAGGATAAATGATTCGGTATTACGGGACGACTAAAACTAACTACCTGGAATGTCAGAGGGCTAGGTAATAAAGAAGAACTAGATAACAAACTAAACGAAAAAGGAATAGATATAGCTGTCATAACGGAAACCAAAAAAAAAGCTGAAAGGAAAAAGATATGAAACATTATACGATGATCTACTGTGGAGTAACTCAAAATAGAACGGGCAAGTAGTGGGTAGCATATGATGTAACAAGAGGTGGATTAGTGGAGTATTCCTTTGAAATGAGCGAATTGCGAACGTGCAAATTCAAAATAGAGAGGGGCCACTTAATACTTATAGGCGTGTATGCCCAGAAGAAGGAAGGAAAGAGGACACACGGACGTTTTTATGATGCATCTTCAAAAACAAATAAGCAAAATAAACAAAAATAATCATGTCCTCGTCTGTGGCGACCTAAAACGCCAGGCGACCTAAACGCCTAACATTCCGATTCCGGGAGTTGTCGGGGTATTGGAGAACAGCACTTAAATAAAACGGAGAAGAACTTAGACAGTTTGCCAGCCTTCAATAAGTTAAAAATTGCTAATACCCTTTTCAGAAAAGAAATACACAAGTCACCTGGAGTGCCAGAGCCTCAGATCACTAAATAGATTATGTAATCGCAAATGATAAAATTAGTAACCAAATAGAGAATGTACAAGTACACCGAGGATGTGATATATATCAGGGACCACTACCTAGTGATTGTAACAATAGCAATGGTAGGCAAATGGAGAAAATTAGACCAAGGAAAGAGACAAGTCAGGAATTATCAAAGTGTACTTACTTGAACAAGAAAGCTAAAAAGACTATATCAAATTCGATTACAACAATTTCTGTCAAGTGTTCCAATGTTGATGATGTGTGATAGAAATGGCAGAATATAAAGGAATGCAAGAGAGGGCAGGATATGAAACTAGGAAAGAAAAAAAGCATAAGAAAAGAAAGGGACTGAGCGTATGGAACGATTGTATAGCGGAAGCCATAAAAGATAAAGATATATCATATTAAACAATTCCTTCAAATAAAACCCAAGAAGCTAAAGAAGAATATAAACAAAAAAAGGAACAACGCTAACAAATAATAAGATCTGCACATAATGACTCATGGGATAGATTTATAAGTACTATCGAACTTGATATACATGGAAGACAAATGTTTGCGTACAAAGCGTTAAGACATTTAAATCAAAGGGAGAAAGATGTTGCAGATATACGCATAATCAATGAGAACAATGGAAGGAACACTATATAAACCTTTGGTTGACTGGAAACTGTTGAACCTAAGAGGAAGAGCTTCGCTACAACAATACTGTGGATTCAATCTCCTTGATGAATCAAAGCAAGCCCTTGAACAGTATAAAAAACAGGGAAGGCATGTGGTCCTGATGGAGTTAACATGGAACTCATAAAATATGCAGGCCCCCTAAGCGAATTTAGACGGCTTCATCTGTTCAACGAATGCTGGAATCTTATAAGACACCCAATAGCTGGAAAATAACAAGAGGGTCATATTCTATCTTCAAAAAGAGGTAAAGGAAATTAATGTGGAAACTACAGGGTATCAGCCTCATGAATACCGCTTATAAATTATTTGCAAAAGTTATCATCGCTCGATGAAAATTATAGCAGAGGCTAAATTACAAGAAGAACAATCGGGATTTCGAAAGGACGCTCTTGTAACGACAATATTTTAGTCTTAAAAAGAATATTTAGAAAAACGACGAGAAGTAAATAAGGAAACCCATATAGCCTTTATTGACTTCGAGAAAGCTTTTGATAGCGTGGACAGGCACAAGCTATGGAAAATAATGAACGAAAGTGGCTATCCTGAGCACCTCATAAAACCATAAAAAATATGTATAACGAGACAAAAATTATAATAAATCTGGCATAAAGAAGACTGAAGAAATATTAATAAATAGCGAAACTTAACAAGGATGTAGTTTATCTCCAACACTATTCAGTATATATATTGATGACCTTATTAAAAAATGGAGAGGCATAGCTAGTTCTGGAATACAGTTGAAGCAGAATAAACACCTAAATATTCAACTTTATGCAGATGACGTAACAATACTGCAAGAGTGTGATGATCTGCAAAAAGCTGTATACACACTGCATCAACTGAGAAGAAATGAGTATAATCTCCGAATTTCTAAAACAAAGACTTAAGTTATGGCCCATTGCGGTAAATACCCCATACGCTCAAAAATAGTTATTGACTACACAGTGATCGACCAGACTTCAAATTTTAATTACCTTGGTTGTGACATCAGTTATGACACAGATACAGACAAAGAAAATAAAACTAATAAATTTCAATCAATATGTGGAATAATAAACAGAACACTACAGAACAAAGCAAGGAAAGACACAAAAATTAATTAATTCTATAAGACAATGGCTGCTCCAGTTCTCCTGTATGGAAGTGAATCGTGGATAATGAAAAAAAGACCAAAGTAAGCTCCAAGCAGCAGAAATGAGATTTCTTAGGAAAGTTAAAGGCTGCATTAAACAAGACCAGATAAGAAATGAGGATATCTGTAAAGATCTAGATATATACAACATAAATAAAAGGATCTTAGAAAACAGGAAAGAATCGCGGCGCCATATCGAAAGAATGGAGGAAGATCGTATTCCACAATTAGTGATGAACTACCAACCGAAGGGAAGAAGAGATATCGACCGACCCAGAAAGAGATGGTCCTGAAGTGCGAAGTGAAGACGGAACAGGCATTTGTGCCTAATCCTTGGAATTGAGAAGAAGAAGAAGAAGAAGAAGAAGAAGAAGAAGAAGAAGAAGATTTAGTAAATGAGGGACTAAACTAAGAATTGTAGGTTATAGAGCGAAGCATAAGTGATATCTTGTGAAGAGAGGTGACATGCAGTGTAGAGCAGAGAAATAATGAAGGAAGTGGTTTAAGGGTCATTGTGAAGTGAAGATCAGTGAAGTGCCAGTGAAGTGTGGTCTAAATTAAACAAACATTCAGTGTGGAGTTAGACTATAGAAGTTTCTGAATTGAATCAGTCAGTTTTTTATATTATTGTTATTATTATTATTTTACTATTATTGTTAATCTTATTACAATTGTTACCATTATTATTATTATTATTATTATTATTATTATTGTTGTTGTTGTTGTTGTTGTATAATTTGCATGCTAGATATATTATCTTATTTATGTAACTATCCGGGTTAAACTCAATTGTAGTTTGAACTTTATCATTTCGTCGTCGTAACGTTTATTAAGATATTTCGTAATAAAAATTCGCTTAAATTAAATTCTTGAATTTTCAGTTTTGTTTCCAAACTACTGGAACAAGTAATGAACATGTGGGGGGCCATATGGGGAACATATAGAGTGGAAGCTGTATGTGAAAATATTCAAAACGTGCGGGCAAATAGCTGGGGTATATGATGGTATAAATGGGGGAAACGTGTGGGAAATCCTGGGAGTAAACGGAGGGTAAAAAAGCTTTCTACAAATTGACACCTTTTTTTACAGTTTTGGAGACTTAGTTCTTCTAAGTACCCCCACTGCGTGGCATGTATTGATGATCGAAATCGAGAAGAACTTCGAAATGTGTTTCAAATTAAACTGTCAGTCTGATTCCGCCAGGGTCCATACGGAGCTGGCCATCCGAAGTTGAGATTAAGTATTATGGTATTTCACTTTTAAAACAATGACTTACAAAGTGCGGAATGATTGCACGAGTACAGAGAGTCCATTAATAATGTATTGTAAAAGTATAACAAACAATAGTTAATTGACGTTTCAGAGCACGTCAACAGCTCCGGACATTAGTACCGTTATTGTAGTGAATGTTTTATTCCGGGAGGCTGCGGTGTTCCTCTCTCTGGATGATGAGATCCGGAACCGAACTTCACGTCAGCTGGTGGGGAATTTCCTCGAGTCACTCCTCAGTGAGGCATCGCCTTAACCGGGACAAGCTCTAAGCTCCCGACCGGCCTCCTGCCATTTGTGGCAGTGTGGTGCGTATATATGTGTGTAAGAGTAGAGGAGAGGACGAGAAAGAGAAAGGAACGATCGCACGCGGTCTATGGCACATTTGCTTGGGTACCGCTCCGGAATTCGCCTGGCTTTGATCGGAGAAAACATGGAAAACTACCGATCAGAGCAGCCGACCGCTAGAATTCTCCTCCATACAGAGGCTGAATTCGACCTAGTGGCTATGTAGCAAGTCCACCACTGTCGGGACTCGAACTTTATTATCCGATTTAAATTTAGTGACTTGTGACATATCATCAGCTTCACATGTTTATCCAATCGGGAGCTTCGGTACGACCTCAATTTTAGGTATCGAATCTCGCTATTGGATAACAGCGTCGCAGCTGTTGATGTGTCGAAAGAAACTCTATTTAAATCAGAAAATAGGACCTCCTGATCAGAGTGGCTGCCGAGTTAGCAGCTATATTAGGTCCGAGCTAAACTCAGCCGATCAATAGTTAATATTTTGAATCATTAATGTACAGATTTCATCCACAATATACTGAGTTCCGTTAGATTTAATCCAACTACTAGATGAGTAACTACCAAAACGAAATAGGAACGGCGGGGGGGGGGGGTTAACGAGTCAGTTTGCATCCCCTAGCTCGCTCCGCGTGGATCCTGGGAGTCTCTTAACCTACAAGCTCCCCGGCGACGGGGGACGCCCCCAGTGGCTGCCGGCGCAATTAGAGGCTTGCATTTTTGACCGCGTTCCGTGCGACGCGCCAGCGCCGATATTGCGACGCAGGCACGCGCCGGCGTTCCTCCGTGGGCGGAGGCGGAGCGGCGGCAAAGCGGGATCGAACGAGATGCAGCAGCATCTCCAGCGGATTCGGAAGATGGCGCAGTATTACTCTACGTTGAAGCTAACGTCTACCAGACCGGTGAGCGTTCTTCAACAAGCTACTTCGGTGATGGCAAACTACTAACGATTCTTAATTTCCATTGTCTTCTTTTGTTTTACAAGTATTTTTTTCTTCTGTTTTTGTTAATGTCAATGACCCAAGGAATTGAATGATACTGTCTAGCTTCTCGTTCTCCAAGGTGATTGAAGTCCTAGCAGTAAGATTTTCTTGACCAGCCTTGTTTAACGAGTTCCTCAAGGCCTACGTGCGACTATCCCTATTCCGTGTTTTTCTGCTGCTGAAGGTTAAAAATAGTCGCAAAGAACGAAATTTGGGAGATTTGTTGACGATTGTGATGAAATTGACACTGGGAAGTGGTACATGCAACTGCAATTGTAATAGCAATTTGTTGAGGTATAGAGTATGAATAGATATGGTAAATTATAGAATCGGAAGATCAGTCTCAAATGAGAAAATATGTTGCCTACCTTTCCGGACAATCGCGTGAAAATTCAAATTGCCCCTATCATATCAAGCGATGTGGTAAGATCTTTTTCAGAATCCAAATAGACTGATAGACGCCTTCTAATATTAGAAAATCTTTAAAAGATGTTTTATAATGTATTCTTAATGGTACATATTTTTTTAAATCAATTTAATGCTTTTATAATGGGTTACAGTCTTATATAGGGGGATGCTTACTAAAATAACATTATACATTATTATTTCTTTTTAATTTGTTCACTATATTTCTGTAGATGACAAGAAGAGAGATTCCAAGATGCATGTTTTAGTAACAAAACGCTGGATATTTTAAAACTGTGCATAATTCAATATTTTTTGTACATTCGGTTGCATAATTCTGGGGTAAAAGTTTGCTCAATCTTTCCACAAAACACCACATACACTAACATCTTCTGCGTTAAAACTTATTAAAGTTATCATTACATTTCAGTTATACTCTGTTTATTTAAAAAACAATTAAATAAGATCTTCTTTTTCCAAATCAGTGATCTGCAAAGTAGTAAACTATTTATAATTTGAATTACTTCGTTTGTTAAAGTAAGGTACACGGTACACCCTCTGAAAAGCGTGGCGGCGGGGGGCAAGG